GAAAGAGTGATCAACCATGTAAAGCAAGCTGCTGCTCCTCCTGCCCCAAAACTTGAGCTGTGGTGCTAATGATGCCGTTCCAGCACAGTTTGAAGGTCTTGGGGTGTCCCGGAATCTCTAACCACATGGGGCACAGCCTTGGAGGCTGCTAGCCCCTTTTGGTATTGGGTGAAAACAGAGAAATTGGAGCTCAAGCTTCATCTCAGCCAAAGGCATCATGAGCTAATTGTATTAAGCAATTTGGCTCCACTGGAAGAGCAGTTTTCGGGGTAAAGAGCAGCACAAATACTGCTTTTCTGTTGTAGAGGAGCTCCTAGGAAGATCAGCTTCTTTCCAGACCTCTTCAAAGAGCAACCCCTCCCAGCCCCATCCCAATCCTGTTCAAAACCCCCCAGCATCACTGCAAACCAGGCATGAGCTTGTGCAAAGCCTCCCCTCCTATTTCACAGCTCTCAAGGCAGCACCACTGAAGTTTCATGTGATTTCGTTAGCACAAGTCTCAGAAGCACCTGCCCTCCGCTCCCTGGATTCAACAGGATTTATTGCAAGCTCTGCTAAAAGTGATGTTTTTCGCCTTTCTGTTCTGCAGCACTTTTAACTTCTTCACGTAACATTTGACCCTCTAACCTTTTCTACTTCATAAAGCACGTATGAAATCCTGTACAACATAAACCTGTTATTGTCTACAGTTGTCTACAAGAGGAGAAACCACCCTGCTCAGGGTCTGGGTGGTTTGACTAGAAATAACTTCAGCAAGAACACCCTAAACGCTTCTGTCTCTCCAAGGTGCCTCCAGTAATTGCCCCCTACCCTCACTGCAGCTTAATGAGAAGAAGGTTAGCAGCAAACGTGCCACATGTTAGAGGAAAGTGGTGTGTTTCCATGCAGACATGGTAGAAAAGTTGATAGATAGAAATAAAAGGGAGATCATAGCTCCTCCCTGGGCACTGTCCGCTCAGGCTGACAGAAGAGCTGCTTGATGGCACCCGGGATTAAAACTGCAATATATTAGAAACCTCCCAGCTTAAAGAAAGGGCATGGTTTCAGACAGAACCAGCTAGAGAAAAAGAAACCCTGAGCTCAAGAGGACTCAGCACACAACCAAAGGGACAGGACAGCCTGCAGCCTCCCATATTTATCCCCTCCCAGCCCTTCCCCGTACGCCTGAAAGGGTTTCACATAAATGAAGTGGGACCCATTAACCTTCCCCCTGCCAGGCACAGAGCAAGCCAGGGCATTTTCTGAAAGTGCTTTTTTTAATACAAAACTGGATGCGTTTTATTTTCTGTGCCCAAAACACCTTGTACTTTAAAAGCTACATGGATTTCTGATGTCATTTTTTCCCAGTCTTTCCTATTAACCATGTATTAGCCAAGAAAAGGACTTTAAAAATAGAAAGCTACAGTGACGACACCAAAAAGTCTTACTCAAAGTGCCTAGGAAACAACTTTCATATCACACTGCATTTGGAGCACCTGAGGGGTGATAAGACAACACAAAATTTATTTTCCTGAGCAAACAGCAATAAATGCATTTAGGCCTGTGGGGCTCCCAGTTAACCCACTGGGCACCAGTGTGGTGGCCTCACCCACAGGACACAGGGTTGCAGGGGGGACTGGTGCTGGACACAGCACAAGGAGCTTAAGTCCCTTCCTTGCCACGTGCCTCAGTTTCCCCTTCTGGTAAATGGGTGATTGCAGCCCACCATGCCCACAGTCCCCAGCTGCTCGCTGGCTCTGGGACACGCCATGTCACCCCTCTGTCCTACTCCAAGTGCCACTTGGTGGCACTGTTTGAAAAGATTTCTTTGCTCGATGCCTACCTCCCCGTCAGGATCCAGAAGAGAGAGTTTCTGGAAGGAATCACATTAATCTTGGCATCACAATATCCTCATTTTTCTTCCTTTGTTTTCTTTTCTCTTTATTCACCATGCAAGCACTCCCTGGCGGTCTCCTCCCCTGTGTGTCAGTCACTGGGGATCTCCTTCTCACAAAACACATTTTCCAAATACAAGAGTCCTGGGCGTTGCTCGGGCATCACCTTAAACTAAATCCTCCAGTGATAAAAATAGCCTTTTCTGTTAATTCCTCTGAAGTGTGTCTGCAGGTGGGGCAAGCTTAGGAAGGATCATGCATTAACTCCAGAGAAAAGCATCAGAGCAGAAGTTAATGAGAAAGAGACAAATGAAGACAGGGGCATGACAACGTAATTGCGTGAGAGATGTTTCAGGTCGCCCTGCTGAAGGGGTGTCTCCTCTGGAAGATGCAGGCTGTGATCCTGAACCGTATATAAGATGACCAAGAGCTGATCTGCTCCAGACTGCGTTTCCTGAAGCTCAGTGTTCCTGCTCCTCACCCAGGTAAGCCTGGACAGACTTTTTACACTGTCTGACTTTGCTACCAGCAGGAAAGCCAGAGCTTCTGGCCATGAGGATGTCCCTGGAGCTGCCACTGCTGAGCTCTCCTAAAGGAAAAAAAAAAAAAAAATTCATAAAAGAGATCTGGAATTACACTATTCCATGGTTCGTTAGAGATGACCTCCATTCACGGCTCTGCTCTGCTCCAGAGAAAGCCAAACGGGATTTTTTTCTCTCTCACTGTGCGCCCCCAGCCTTTCGGATCTCGCTGTCCCTCACCTCTCCAGCCATCACCTGCTGGTCCTCACACCCAGCCATCTCTGTAGCTGAGTTTCGTTTTTCAGATTTGTTTTCCTGTGAGATCCTTCTTTCTCTCTCTTTCTTCCCTTATACTGTTTCATTTTATCTGTGCCCTTCTCTGGCTCTTCTTTCCCTCTCTGCCTGTCCAGCTGTGCTGTTTAAGAGTAACTGATCCGAAAACCGAGCAAACAAACAAACAAAAAAAGCCCCTTTTTGTCTGTGTTTTTTCTCGCAGGCTGCCTCAATTTTGCAGGGAGATGGCCCAGCTCCAGGAAAACATCAATGGCATCGTTGCTGCTTTCTACATGTGTGCCAGAAGCGACGGCAACTGCAGCCCCCTGAGCAGGGAGGAGCTGAGGCAGCTCATCCAGCAGGAGTTCGCAGACGCGATGGAGGTGAGGAGCTGGCCCCACAGCTGGCCCCGGCCACTGATGTGCCTTCTGGCTGCGGGACTGGGATCAGCAGTGCAGTGGGGTGGGTAAAGCCATGCACTCCCGTGCGGGTGTACAGGACACCTGGCTCCCTGGGAAAGGCACAGATGCCTTCAAAGCCCAGGATCTGCAAGGAAGAGGAGAGGCTGTTCATTCTCCCAGTGCCGGCAGCTTGTAGAGCTTGTTGCGGGAAGCAACATGAGCCACAGTAGGAGGAGGGGCATGGGGCTGGATTTCTGCCCTGAGACTGCTCGAGTGCTCCTAGAGAGATGGCACAAATGGCTCACGGGCTTTGCCAACACCGTTTGTCTCTTTACAGAACCCCCAGGACCCCAAAACCATCAAGAAGGTGCTGTGCTTCCTGGATGATGACAGCAACTGCAGGGTTGACTTCAGCGAGTTGCTCAGCCTGGTTTTCCACGTGGCCAAGGCTTGTTACAAGCCGCTCCAGCAGCACCAGGCGCCAGAAGATGGTCAAGAGCCAACAGAGCAAAAGAAGGCAGGCGGGGAGCAGCTGCCGGGGCCGTGCACAGCAGGGAGGAACTCAAGCAACCAGCAGGTCCCCGAGCAGGGTATGAAAAACCAGGTCCAGGACACTAAGACACAGGACCCAGACAACCATCAAATCCAGGAGAGTGAGACACCAGAGCAGGACCGGGACACCCGTCAAACCCAGGAGGGTGAGACACCAAAGCAGGAGCCAGACAACCGTCAAACCCAGGAGGGTGACACAAAGGATCAGGACCAGGACACCCGTCAAACCCAGGAGCGTGAGGCACCAAAGCAGGAGCCAGACAACCATCAAACCCAGGAGGGTGACACAAAGGAGCAGGACCAGGACACCCGTCAAACCCAGGAGGGTGAGACACCAGAGCAGGACCAGGACACCCATCAGGACGATGGGACTGAAGCACCAGAAGAGGGTCCAGAGAGAGGTGAGATTCTGGACACTGCAACCCCAGAGCAGGACAGAAATACCCATAAGGCTGAAGAGACTGAGACACCAAAACAGGATCCAAAACCCCACAAGGCCAAAGAAACTGAGGCACCAGGACAAGATTCAAACCACTATCAGAATCCAGAGACAGAGTCAGCAGAGCAGGACCTGAATTGTCCCTCTGAGACACAAGGAAGAGATCCAAACAACAAGACCCAGGTCTGCGAGGCCCCTCAGCAAGACCCCAACCCCAGCAAGACTCGGAAGGTGCTGCCCCCACAGCGGGGTGCAAGCCCCCGTCGGGATTCCAAGCCCCAGGGAATGTGCCATGACCTGGCTTTCCATCAGCTCCCTGAATCCAAGGTGCTGGAGCAGGAGCACAGCAAGGCAGAGGCTCCATCTTGTCCAGCACAACAGCAACAAGATGTTCATCGCCAAACACAAGCCTCTATAGAGCAACAGCTCCTGCAGTCTCTGTATCAATGGCCACTACAGCAGTAAAAGCTGATACAAGCCCCCGCCTAAGTGAGGTTGTTGCCCCCCGCGAGGGGGTACATTTTGTCCAGTCCCACTCTGGTTTTTGCATTTCTATTTGTCATGTCTTGTCCAACTCCTTATTAACCCTGGGCTTCACACTCCTGGTCTGTACTGAGCTATGCATGACTAGAGACCTTCCCTCTTACTCTGTGTTAGGCTGCCTCTGCCTGTGTAAGCAAAGCAATAAAACTGAAGGCAAAAACGGCACAGCGTCCTGGTGTGTTGCTGCAAGCGTGCCCTCAGCCAGGTTGACGTGATGGGGTGCAGAGGACCTGAGCGTCCATCCCTTGCATGACACATGGCCAGATTGCTCCAGGGTGCAGATGGAGGGATAGCTGCAGAGAGGCAGGTGTGTCTTGGGGGTGGATAGCCTATAGGAGCGGCTGCTCAGCTGCCTTTGCAATTTAGCCGAGGTGAATCGATTGCTCCTCGTGGGCAGGGATGTGACATCCCTACGAAAGATGTCTTCAGAGGGGGTAGAAATCTGAATTAACACAACAGCATTGCCAACCTGAACAGATTCTTCACAGCATCCATCTGCTCCGGGCATTTTTCATGTCTGCTGTGAAAAGAATAAACAGCTGCTTAACACTGAATGGGAGGGATTTGTCCTATTTAACCTCACTTATTAATAATCTCAGAAGCAAGGGGAATGTGGAGCATGCTATGAAGATCAAAAATCCCTATTAGCTATGGAAGCCTCCAAAAGAAGGAGTGGAGATATATTAAACACAGGAAAAATGATGATTTGGGTACATCCAGCCCCAGCAACAACTGGGAGGCCAGAGATAAAAAGCTGACATGCAAACCGTGCACAGACGGAGCCAATCTCAAACTCAGGTTCAATTCAGGCAGTTCGGGGTACCAGGTCCTCGGGCACTTGTCCAGACATGCACATAGGAGTGTGGGTAACTCTGAGGGCATGAGCAGTCCGGTGGAGTCAGTGGGGTTTATTAGGGGGTTCAGACGTGCTGGACCACCACGCAGGCCCAGGACTCGGCATCCCGCAGGGAGGGTGATGCTCAGCCTGTTTTTCCCCATGCTATCTTTCACTTGCAACCTATCAGCAAAATCAGCACATGATAAATGCACCCGCACCTCCTGCTCTGTGGCTGGTGACAAGCAGCACGCAGAGACCTCACTGGAAAATAAAACGTCATTCCTCTTGGACACCCCAGAATTTCACAATTTGCTAAACGCTGAATCAGAAAAACCAGCATTTCAAAACTATCCCCAGAATGTACATCACAAAAATGATTTGGTTGTGCTAACGTCAAAATTAAATGTATTAGACACAAAGTACACCAGTCTGCTCTACTACTGATAAAGCATATCAGCAATAATAAGTTCTGACCTACCTCATGACAACTGTGGACATGAAATGGGAGAGTCAAGACTTAAATTTCATCACCTGTCTGTCAAAACCCCCATTCCATCCGAGACATTCCTCAAAGCATTTCATTTTCCAGAGAACTCCATTTTTCTTGTAAAATAGGTCTCAATTAGAGGTTCGTCCAATAGCTCTTTGCTTCTTATTAGCTCTGGCTTAGGGTCTAAAATCACCAGACCCAACCATCCCCCTGTAGTCTGCCTGTCCATCAGCTGCCACCTTTTGCAGCATCAATAAAAAACCGACCTCCCAGTTCAGGCAGGCACCAAGCCCTGTTAGGGACATGTTAATTACATGCTCTGTTCTGAATAACACTATTTTTGCCATCAGGAGTGTCATATTTGAGGTTAAGAGGGGGGTTTTAGTTCATTTTAAGGAGAACATGAAAATTACCCCGCTGACACAAACACCTGTCTAAGAGTCCTGCAAGCCTGGGAGGTGTTGGAAGAGAAAAGGTCTTTCATACACCACATGAGAGGCCCAGTTCCTCTAAGATTAAATGCAATAGAAGCTTGGTCACCCTATACAAACAGTGATGGGGATGGGCACAGAACTGAGTAAGAAGCAGGAGGACGGAGCCCACCCTCTTGGGTAACAGCTTTTAAAAACCTACCCAAGTCCTGTCTTAGGAAAACATCTTCGGGGAAAATGAAGCCCTTGGAGAAAAGGGGGTTTCAGTGCTGCCAAGAACGCGCTTTGAAACTCATTGCTTTGTCCTGGGAATGGTAGCAAAGCACGGGAAAGCAGGCGAGCGTGCCAGCATGCGCATGGCCGAAACACAACGTACCTTTTCCTGCATCAATACCCAAACTTTGCCCGGTGGCTCACGCAGCACCTGACCATCCCGCACTGCCCCAGCCCCTGCGGGGGGGATTACAGACTGTTACAGGACACCAAGCCACACTGTAATACTCTAATTTTAATAATAACTCCAATCTACCATAAAATTACAGTTTCCCAAGGGTATTATTATCCCACAGGTGGGGTATAATTTGCACAAGTATAATTTAATCTTGAAAAAAAGCTCAAAAATGAAGTATGGTTAGTAACAATCCTTCGTACGCACTTGTATGAGTATCCCCAAGGTGTTACCAGCACTAATTAATTAGGCTCCTACACCCAGTATGATCTTACCTTACAGATGAGCCAGATGAGCCACTCACCCAAGGCTGCGTGACAAGTTCATGCTCTGAAGGCTCTCCGCAATGTCTCCGTCATGCTTGTCAAGGCAGCATCCTACCTCCAAAACCAAAAGCAGGGGCCCAGGTGGCACGGCTGGTGTCTTCCTTATTTGCTCTGTGTACTGGGAGAGTTAGGGTTGAACAAAGGAATCAGTTGGTCTCTAATTAATTTACAGTTAAAAGATTAAAAAAAAGAAGATTGTAAAGGTAATTACAGCAAAAGCTGCCTAGGGCAACCAGATGAAGATTCAACATGAATCGACCTCTCAGCAGAGAGGTTTCTGCTTTTATTTTTAATTAAAGATCAAGCAAAGTTGAAATGAAAGTCGATCGTGGAAGACAGTTAATATGAAAAATGTTTTGTCGTGATTTTTCTCAATGAAAAGTCATTGCTTATTGAAGAGAAATTTTCTTGTACAAAAATTCATTTTGCAAACTTTACCATTTAAAAATGTTCTGTTTGTGGTTGGGTTTTTTTCCCAACAAAAACCTGGATAATATAAGAAAAAGGCTCCTTAATAAGAAGTTACCAAAAATAAAACACATTTTGCAGCACACTGTACAAGGATGACACACAAGCCAAGATCTGGAGGATTTGGGGATCTCACTGCTGTGCACCTGCATTTCACTATTTTCATAGCGCTTAGGTCTTCTTCTGTCCTTCTGTGAGCAAAAGCCAGACCCAAACCCCATTGACCTCAGGCCCAAGGTGCCGAAGGAACTGCACAAAAAGCAAACAAAAATAATCTCTGGCATTGCGGTACCAAGATCACGGGCCGTACAGATCTCGACTGTCCCTGATCTGCTCATAGTGAGCTCTGCTACCATCAGCACTTCTGTCCCCATCCTCGAAATTTCATTCTGGTACTATTTTTATGTGTGTGTGTGTGTATTATACAGATATAAATTCATACTTATGCAAATGCACATTTATATAAAAATACACCCTCCCATTATACACTTAATAGCTACTCTAGATTTTTTAAAATCTGAAATACAATCAGCCTGTAAAATAACTTTACAGTCTGGATTAGGTGGAACCAGCCAGTGCCTGAAATTGCCACATGGCAACTGCTATTTCTGGGTTAAAATGATAGGTAAGGGGATGGTAAGTTAAATAACCCGTTTGAGGACGTGAAGGTGCAGCTGGGCTTGGCCAAAGATGAATCAGGACAACGTCCACAAAGGGTGTCTCCTTTCTGTAGCTCCGTCAAGGACCCTATAAAAGCACTCAGGTCCTCCGATCACTTCGCACGGCTTCACAGGAATCCCACTTGATCCCGTTGGTGATTTGGGTAAGTCACTCCTTCTGAAACGTGCACTTTGCTGGGCAAGGACATGTTATTTCTATAGGATTCA